AAAGCCTCCTCCTCAATGAGTGGAAGCTTTCTGCCCAAACCCTTACTCATGGCCATGGAAAATAAGTCATTAACGTAGGTTCGACTGGCAGGGATTGGACGTGATATATATATATTAACGCTTCTGGTGTGACTCATGGACTGCGTCATAATCATCGAATTTGGTGTTGAGAGTTTGTTACAAATAATTCTACATGTTTGAAAGAAAGTATGGTTCAATAATGAGTTCAATAGTGCGCAAAATATAATTCCCGATAACTACGCTAAATGATCTTTTTTTAAATACATAACGTAACTGCGTTTGGCGCGTAATTTTTTTTTCGGAAAATGAAATCGTCTCAATTTAAGAATGGTGTAAAAAAAAATATATTCGGTTTAAAAGTGGGACATATTAAATATAGTTCATGGGCGTGAAATAAAAAGTCTGCAGTGACGTATGCTGGGGGAAGGGGTGTAAGCAAATATTGGGATTCTTAAATGTGCGTTACTAGAGTTCATGTTTTGTCAAGTAACTTAAGTATATGTGAAGTTCAGCATTGTTGTCGCCAATGTGACCGCAACCTTGCCCACTGATATTAAATATTAATTCGCTGTTTCATTATCGCTTCCGTAGCGATATTTATATAGTTTGTTAAGGAAATATTTTCATAATTTTTTTCATTTTTTTTTTATTAGCATACGGGGAAATAAGTCTACCTAAATTCGTATTATGTTCTACAGATCATGACATTTAAGTCTACCTAAATTTGTCTTATGTTCTACAAAGCACCAAATTTAAGTGTACCTAAATTCGTCTTATGTTCTACATAGCACCACATTTAAGTCTACCTAAATTCGTCTTATGTTCTACACAGCATGACATTTAAGCTTTACGCCTACTGGTAAATCTTAGCCGCCCACGTGGAAACTCTGTGCTCAGCGCCATTCATTGAGCTGTGCAGGTAGAAGTGAAAGGTGGAGTACCGTTCAGACGATAACATGCTTGCAGTGCCTTGGTTCCTCACTCACACAATCCAGGGTTTGTGTCGATTTCGTCAACAAGACCCTCTGGTTAATGAAGCGGTTCAACAGCAGCAACAGCAGCCCATCAAACAGCAGCAACAACAAAACCAACAGCAACTAAAATCAGCGGTGATACCATCGGAAAATCTCGTGAGCAGCCCAGTCAGTCGCTCACAAGCGAGTAAGGTTTCCACACCCAAAACTCAAACTTTAGTGGCCAGTTCTCCCCCGGGAACCGACATACCTGCGGGTACACAGAAAGAACAGCACATCTCTAAGCGTGAGTCACTTTGAATGGCGTTATCTAGAACGTTGTAAACTATTGTTAGATCTATCTGTCAGTCCTAGAGCGATTTTAAACTTATTCTTACATAGTTGTGTAATACGTTAATAGATAATAATTGTAATATATGGTGAAGAAACCATTTATTAAGCATGGTGAACTCTTTAATTGTAGTCTTCAATGAAAAGACTAATAGAACCCCCCTCCCCCCCCCACCTTTTTTCCCCCTTAAAAGCGATAGGAGGCTCTGTTTGTGTACGGCCCTATTATAAATGGACATCTTTTCCTCCTGATTTCTACGCTAGAGAAATACTTAAGTTAAAATTGTTAGGATTGTAAAAAAATGTTGTTTTGGTTTAAAATATGTATCTACTTATGTGCTGAATATGAATATGCTAAAATATAATAAAAAAAACATTTCTATTTATTTGGATCAATCAATAATTGTATCTTATTTTAGTTTATCTTATTATCTTAATAAGAATTCAATTCTCAGTCAATACGCCTGAAAATGACCTCTGCTTAAACTGGATTTCAAACATCATAGCATTATTCAGAAGTTAAACATTGAAATCGCTAAGCCTCTCCATTAAAATCCACAAAATAAAAAAAAAATTTAAAAAATGTAAGTTCACAACGTCACAATGTTATGAAATTATTTCTATATGAATTATTTTTTTTAAAAATCTATCGGGTAATTAAAAATTATTAATATCACATCCACAATGACAAATTTCGACAAAACAAACAATATAAACTGTCATCGAATCCAACAACAAAAATTAATTAATTGTCATACATACAGCATTTTCTGATGGTTAAAAATAAATTCAAAAGAAGAAAAAAAAGTATTTGAACTTAAAATAAAGGAATGTGTACATATGATTCGGAATAGTATTTCAGGAAACTATACATGTCTAGTATTATTTTCCGTGAAGTGAATGATAATTTCACAGGCAGTGGCGTAGCGAGGGTGTTTGGCGCCCGGGGACAAGATTCGCGCCCGGGGACAAGATCCATTTTTTAGCGCCCCTTTTCTTTTTTTCAACTCTCAAACCCATTATCTTCATCAATAAAATAATATCAAAGCACATTTTGGCGACCCTAACTAGCTGGCGCCCGGGGACATCTGTCCCCCCCTGCCCCCACCACGCTACGCCTCTGTTCACAGGTAACCCTCTCGTTCTCTTCTCTCTTCCCCCCACCCCCACCCCCCCCCCCAACACACATTATCAAAGCACATTTTGGCGACCCTAACTAGCTGGCGCCCGGGGACCTCTGTCCCCCCCTGCCCCCACCACGCTACGCCTCTGTTCACAGGTAACCCTCTCGTTCTCTTCTCTCTTCCCCCCACCCCCACCCCCCCCCCCAACACACATTTTGTAGAGACGAGCTCCCTGCAGGCTAGCCAACCGGTGACCCCCAGCACACAAACAAGCTCGAGGAAACTGGTGCTCACTCCGTCGGCTTCAGGTAATCTATATTTAACTTCATCAGCCATTTTTTTTCAGCATAATCATAAAGTAATATTACGTAAGTTACATTTATGGTTTCCCTGGGTTTTGTTTGCACTAACGTTTACAATTAATGTCTACCAATTTAGTAATAATTATTTTTGTTCTAATACAACATTATAAAATCAAATATAAGACGTTTTGGTATCAAAAAAAAAAAATAAAAAATTGTATGAATTAAATTTGACAAAATTATAATATACAAGGTTGGGTTTTTTTTGTACTCCGATTCCGGGTACTTTGAGAAAATACCCGTTGGTTCCAAATGTTACCAAAAGAGTTTACTTCTCATTTTCCTATAATATATGCTGGCCTTTAAGCAATAGTCCTAAACTCTACTTGCCGGCCGGCCTTTAAACAATGGTCCTACAGACAGCCCTACACCCTACCTGCCGTGCTTTAAACAATAGTCACACAGACAGCACTAAACCATACCCGTGGCTCTTTACTGATGAATATTATAGTCAACCCCCCTCCCCATCCCCCAAGAAAAAATAATTAAATTATTTACCTGAATTCAACCATGACGCTTGCTGTCGGACATCTTTTTTTTCTTGACTCAGTACTATTGAAATATAACATGTGGAGTTGGGGGAGGGGGGGAGCAGGACATAACGTTAGCCAAAATGCATAACAGATAAGTTATAAGGTAAGAAAAAAGAAAGTTGTGATCGCAGCAAGCCCTTCACAAAACAAACAACAAACAAACAAAGTTCAGAAGAAAATCTGTGCAAGTTCAATGTAAAAAAAAACAACAAAAAACAACAAAAAAAAAAGGAGAGAGAGAGACATGAAATGCTTTGGAAAATTACGAATTCGGTTTAATTTATCTTATAAATACGGAATAATAAGATAATTTTTAATTTTAAAAGTGGGACTTCGGGTCTTAAATGTTCAAACTAGATCTAAAAACGGTTCCTTGTCATCTTTCCGCCTTCACGGGGTGATGGTGTACCTTATGGTCATTTTCTTGGTCAAAGGAGTCCGATCCTGGAAAATGTCTTAGGCAAGCACAACAGGGAGTGACTGTACAGACGTGCTTGGAAGTCTCGGCTGCACTTGTCGTATGAGAACCTTGACCTCTGCACTTACTTCCGCAATGCTCTTTTTGTTGCAGCTTCTTTCAGATTGTTTGACTTGCCCCCCCCCCCCTTTCTCCCGCCCTCCTTCTTTGCGCACGTCCTTCGAAATACAAAACCTTCCTTCATTCTTCTTAAATTGCCTAACCACAGACGTGCTTGGAAGTCTCGGCTGCACTTGTCGTATGAGAACCTTGACCTCTGCACTTACTTCCGCAATGCTCTTTTTGTTGCAGCTTCTTTCAGATTGTTTGACTTGCCCCCCCCCCCTTTCTCCCGCCCTCCTTCTTTGCGCACGTCCTTCGAAATACAAAACCTTCCTTCATTCTTCTTAAATTGCCTAACCGGCATAGGCGCCTCTTATCGAGCGGAGGTCCTGCTGCTCTTTCCAGAACCTCTGTGTTAGGGACTTTGCCCAGCCGTAGGACGATCAGAATGTACCAGAGACATTTTGGTGGAAGCTGTTTTTTTTTTTTTTTTCCATTCGCTACTGGCGTAGGTGATCCTCATTAATTTTTGTCTCTTTCCCAATTATCTTTTCTGGCATATGACAACTACCCAAAGACACATCGGCTACAGACAAAAAGAGTGTCCATGATTTATTTATTTTTTGAGGGGGGGGGGGAACGAGAACTCCGTTAGAACAAAACCCAAGACTCTGTTCTAAACTCAAAGACTCAAGAGTTATTTATATCACATAATTATTCGACGCAAGTTTTGCTACATACTAATTAATTTTAAGGAACAATGAAAAACTCAAACAAGGATTTTCAAGAATGAAAGTTAAATATCTATGATAAAAGGAAAAAAAAATCCATTTATTTGAATAAATAAAAGTATATTACCTTATCTTATATATTGAAATTGAAATAATAACAAACGGAAATTTTGGAATCAGAGCCCGAATCTCAAAATCTCTAAAGCGTTTAAATCTCTAAAAAATGTGGAACTAATTTTGAGGACATTACTCTCGTAGCTATTTTGTAAATTTTTTTTTATTTTTATAATGCTCCGTGCAAACCCAAGTTAAACCTTTTAAATTACAATATTATTTTAATGCCAAAATGGTTATAGCTTTGACAATTGTATGCAGTGGCGTAGCTAGGGTTGGTGTCACCCGGTGCGGTAAACTCACGGTGTCACCCCCCCCCCCCCAAAACTTCTATGATCGATAGTGGCAAAATCTCGACACCACGTGTTTGCCTTGAGACTTACGGAAAGCGCACTTTCGCATTTGCTGGTCCAACAATTTGGAACGCCCTTCCTGTCGATCTTAGAAACAACCAGACACTGGAGTCCTTTAAAACCGATCTAAAGACACATCTATTTCGCAAATACCTTCTGGGATGATTGTCTACCTTCTTTTTCATGTGTTGCTGTGTTGCTCCGGGTTGAAATGGCTAGAAAGACTTTGATATTGTATGCTTGTAATTAGGTTTTGTAGTGTTGCGTTTGTTTTAAATGTGGTAAACTATAGATTTGTTTTTTGTTGACTTTGTACCGCGCTTCGAGCCTTTGGGGATGAAGCGTGTTTTTGAAATGAACTTTATTATTATTATTATTATTAAAATAAGTCCACCGTATAGCATTACCTTGAACTTTTAATAAAGTACGCATTTGGATTGGTTAAATTTGTGAAAAATATCTGTGTGATCGGTTATTCTTTTATGAATCTCGATTTTTGCGAGCAATGTGTGCCCTGTAAATATACAATTTTTCAATCGGGTGTCACCCCTAAATTGGTGTCACCCGGTGCGGTCCGCACCCCCCGCACCTGCCTCGCTACGCCACTGATTGTATGCAACGTCAAAAATGTATATACAATTTTTGTTTTCAGAAGGGAAAATGAGTTTAGAATGGGCCCAGCAACAAGTGGATAAATTCAAATTCAGCTTTGATGACGCGGACACGGATAAGAGCGGGACTCTTTCCTTCAGCGAAGTTTATCAAGTTCTCCAGAAGGTTGGATTTAAAGGCAGCGAGCAGGAAGCGCAGGTAAAAACAGGTCAATTGGTTTATTGTCAAATCTTAAGTGATATTATGTGCAGTTGACATCAGTACAGCAGCGTGCGTCAACAATTGTAATCGAGTAACGCACGTTAGAAGAATCCCAATCAGTAACCCCCCCCCCCCCCCCCCGTTTCTCAAATTATACTTTTTTTTTCTCACGCCTCTGAACTATGTTAATATTCTTATGAACTACCCGCTTTTAAACAGGAGAGTTATTTCACCAACTATTTCAGAAAAAAAAAAGAAGAAAATGTTACGCACCAATGCACTTGCAATGAAAACAAAAAGCTCATTTAGCGCAGTTATCGTGAATTGTTATTTTATCTTCCCTTGAAAACGGATTTTAAAAAAATATATATATATATTATACATATATGGGGGTGGGGGCTGAAAATTTGATAGAATGTGTTGTCATCGGCATCGAGTTTATGTGCCAAGTTTCAGCTCGATAGCTTGACGGGAAGTGGGCCAATGAACCGTGCGATGATTTCGCTACCCAGCCAGCCAGCAAGCCACAAGCAAATGCGAAATTAATATAAAGGATTAAAAAAACATATTTAAACGCTAAAAAATTAATTGAAATTTTCAAAAGGGCTCTTCATGGAGAATTACTTTTTGCTGATAAATGGATATAATCAGAGCTGGTGTCACCCGTTGCGGTAAACTCATGGTGTCACCCCCCACCCCCGAACCCTTTTTCGGATCTTCCTCCAACCGGACTTGCACCATGCAATTCTGAACCATGTCATAGAAAACCGCTTTTAGTATAGTTTGTAAATTAAGTCCAAAAAAATACGTATATTTTAAACAAAAAAAAAAAAGAAAAAAAAAAAAAGAAAAGCAATAAAAAATAGAATTTGAATTAACAGCGTTTAAAAATTGGAAAATAAAATTCCTTTATTACTTTCCTGGTCTTCAAAATTGCAAACCGGTGAATAACTTCCTCAACAGTCTTCACCTTATCACTTTCAACCAAAGAAATCGCAAGACCAAAAAAAAAAAGTAAAAAAAAAAAATAATAACTGGACTGTTTCAAATCAGCGTGCAAATGTATAGTTCTTTATGAGATTCAGTTTTGAAATGTTCCCCTCGCATGAAACCGTAGGCACACAGATTGGGATAAAAAATTGTAGACTTTATGAGAGGATTGCGAGAGATGTTTGGAAGTCCCATTTATTTAGGAATTTTTTAAAACTTCTAACATTGACCAAGCTTCGTCACACTGTTTGAGGGCCCTTGAGCTTTGAACAAATCGAATAGAATATATACAATGATGATGACACTATTTTATTGAGTTGGGAGCCCTGTGTCACTCCTATGAAAGAGTTTCATTCTCATACAAGTTCTCATACAAGTGTGTCATCCAAATGAAAGTGTGTAATCCCCATGTAGGTGTCCCCCTATTTAAGTGTGTCACACCCATGTACGTGTGACACCCCTATATAAATGTGCATTACCATGTAAGAGCGTCACCACCATGTAAGTGTATCACCCCATGTAAGTATGTCACACCATGTAAGTGTGTTACCACCTTGTAAGTGTGTCAGCCCCTGTAAGCGTATCGCCACTAACCACTACCATGTCAGTGTGTAACCACCATGTCAGTGTGTAGCCACCATGTCAGTGTGTAACCACCATGTCAGTGTGTAACCACCATGTCAGTGTGTAGCCACCATGTTTGAGTGTCACCCGGTGCGGCCCACTCCCCCACCTCCCCCCCCCGCCCCAAGTGATGTTACTGGATGATATATCCATTATATGATTTTGTACAATTGGTCATTAGCTAAAGTAAAGTGTGATTAGAAAATAGCGGGGTGGGGGTGGAGAAGAGAAACCCAAAAGTCTGTAGTTTGAAATATCCAAGTAACTTCTTAATTGGGCTCATGTTGAGAAAACATTGAAGTATGAAATATCTAGGTTACTTCTGATTTTGGCTATGTAGAGAAAGCATTGTAGTATGAAATATCTAGGTTACTTCTGATTTTGGCTATGTAGAGAAAGCATTGTAGTATGAAATATCTAGGTTACTTCTGATTTTGGCTCATGTAGAGAAAGCATTGTAGTATGAAATATCTAGGTTACTTCTGATTTTGGCTATGTAGAGAAAGCATTGTAGTATGAAATATCTAGGTTAATTCTGATTTTGGCTCATGTAGAGAAAGCATTGTAGTATGAAATATCTAGGTTACTTCTGATTTTGGCTATGTAGAGAAAGCATTGTAGTATGAAATATCTAGGTTACTTCTGATTTTGGCTCATGTAGAGAAAGCATTGTAGTATGAAATATCTAGGTTACTTCTGATTTTGGCTATGTAGAGAAAGCATTGTAGTATGAAATATCTAGGTTACTTCTGATTTTGGCTCATGTAGAGAAAGCATTGTAGTATGAAATATCTAGGTTACTTCTGATTTTGGCTATGTAGAGAAAGCATTGTAGTATGAAATATCTAGGTTACTTCTGATTTTGGCTCATGTAGAGAAAGCACTGTAGTATGAAATATCTAGGTTACTTCTGATTTTGGCTATGTAGAGAAAGCATTGTAGTATGAAATATCTAGGTTACTTCTGATTTTGGCTCATGTAGAGAAAGCATTGTAGTATGAAATATCTAGGTTACTTCTGATTTTGGCTATGTAGAGAAAACATTGTAGTATGAAATATCTAGGTTACTTCTGATTTTGGCTCATGTAGAGAAAGCATTGTAGGTCTATGCCTTGAACTTGTCGTGTTTTTTCCCCAGTTAATCTTTGGTCACTTGGACAGGGATCACGACAAACGGGTAACTAGAGAGGAATTCGCAGCGACATTAAACAATCTTCCGCGACTGACAATCAAGTAAGTAATCATGGTTTTAGACTTGGCTGCTTTCTTGAAACCTTTGATAATAATAAAAAAATGTACACCTCTAATTTCTAAACCTGTGACTGTCATTTATTTGTTATAACAATTTCTGTCATTTAATTGATTCTACTGTAATTACAATATTTTAATTTCAACTCTACTGTCTCTACCATGTCTTCTTTACCCGATCGCTTCTAAACACAGTCGGATCCAATGTAGGGTGGTTGGGAGGGGGGGGGGGGCAGCATTCTGAACACGTGATCTCTTTTAAATTTTGTTGACAAAGTTAAATAACCGAATGAAACTTGAAAGTACTAGAATTTTTTTTCCCCCCTTCAGAGAATTTTGTCTTCGTAAAGCTTTCCTTCAACTGGACAAAGACAAAAGTGGCTACCTAACACGGGCAGAGATCGAGGACGCTACAAAATCGGAAGCTGGCTTAAACATCGCTGCAGAAAAAATTTCGGATCTCTTAATTTATTTGTGTAAGGAAGATGCGGACCAGAAGGTAGGCTCTATTTTTCTCTCTTATTTTGGATAAAATATATTTGAGACATTAAAGTGGAAATTTATTGGATCGAATGCATTTCAAATCACCGTTATCACGTTATTTGTATGTCAGTTAAATACATGTTTTGAGACTAAATTGGATCACTGAGACTACCATAGAGAAAATCATTGTTTGCCATAATGAAGTAATTCTACTTCGTGCCGTTAAACAATGTGTACTCTTTTCCACCACTAGGTAAGTTATGAAGAGTTTCTTCGAGTCTTCGGTGTCCAGCAGGAGGCAACTGTGATGAGGCAAATCTTCTCCAAATTGGACGCAGACAAGAGTGGCTTCTTGTCGAAAGAGGAAATCCTTGAATCTGTCAAATCAGAGTTTGAACTGAAGCTGAAAGCGTCCAAAATCGCGGACCTGCTCTGTTATTGGTGCAAGGATGCGGATAAAAAAATCAGCTATGAAGAGTTTGTGCAGGTTTGGCTGAAGCAGGAGGAAAAGAAGAAGTGAGATCTGACAAAGATAACAAAATGTCTGTAGGCAACCAATTTAATTTTATTAATACGCAAAAAAAAAGAAAAGAATCTTATTCCTCGTGGTATGGCCTTCTAAATGATCTTGTATAGTATCTGCCTCAATATTATCAACCTTTAATTACCTATGCAGACCTCATCGTATATAGATTAATCTTGGGGTTCTCTCAAAATTATTTTGTTAATATTGTTATTGTAGACTTTTTGCGTTACCTGTTAATCTCATAGCCACGATTTTCACGAGACGATTCTATCTATATTAAATTTGTTTCCTGCCCTGCTCACTCTTACTGTTTTATCGTTAGTTATACTGATTGTCTTTCTTTTATTATCGGACAGTCCGTAATGCAGACGGCCTTCAGCCGGAACCTCCCATAGTCATAGTTTGTTTCGCCTGTCTTCAGGTTTCCTCCCCTATAGCCTATGTGTTCAATATTTCATAATAAGCATTTTAGTTAAGGAGTTTTACCAAAAAGACAAAGTTGATTTCTTCTACGTTCCGTGCAAGGTTAAAACTAAAAATGTTAAAACTTTCAAAGTTGAATTTCGCGCGACGCAAAAAAAAAAAAAAGTCCTTTATTTCTGTGTACACTTTTTAGAAATAAAGTTTCGCTTCACCTTTTCTAATTCTTAATTAAATTTTCTTTAAAAAAAATATATATTGACTTTGAACTATTTTAATGCACTTCGCGTTTCAATATATTTCCATATTCTCTACACTTAATATCCATGCATATAATACAAATTATAATTTACTGCATATAATATAAATAATATTTTACTGCAATTGCATAATATAAATTATATTTTTATTTTCAATAAATTTCATTTTAAATACTATTAGCGCTCTCTCATTATTTAAAGTGGATATGCATCTTATGTCTTAGAAAATCCCCAACGTAAAAATAAAATAAAAAAGATCTTTTATTCAAGTACTTTTTTCTCCGATGTTGTTATTGTTTATCTGATGTTTGAAGATGTCAGCAAGATTCGTAGCCTCGTTTTCATCATGATGTAACTACTTTATTTATATTATTCCCCCCCGAGAGCGGCACCGGACTATTTTTCAGCTCGTGCGCCCCCATACCCCTCCACCTCAGACCTTACAACGCAATGCCAATGCTGTTTGGACCAATTTTGAGATCATGTTCCAGCTTGTCAAGACTGCATGCCACTCCGCACATCTGTTTCGTTAGCGCAAGTTTGAATGATTTATGTAAGGAAGCTGTTTCCTTTAGCACGATTTATTTTTAAATCCTTTATATTTATATTAACTTCGCTTTTATTATTGCCTGGAAATATATTCGAACGGCTAATTGACCCACTTCCCGTCGACCTATCGAGCGGACACTTGGTACATAAACTAGCTGCCGATGGCATTTAATTTTTTTAAAAAGGTTTGCTATAAGTTTTCTTTCTTACCTTCCGCCCCCCAGCGCTTCCTGCGTGTACATTGTAGTACATAGCACTAATACTAATAGGAATATAAGGTTGCTAAGTAAAACAAAGGGAAGCAACCGGCAAAATTGTTATACCCGTGGGGTGGGTGGGGGTACTCGTCGTTTTTCAGGATACGCTATTTCTCTTTACATTTAGAGAATCATCTTATTCTTTTAAACTTTGAACTCAAAGACTGTCAAAATCTATTTCTATTATAGATACAGAACTATCATTTTGTTGTAGTTGTTAACTTCGAACTCAAGATTGTCAATATCTATGTAATATTACAGTTACAGAACAATCTTTTTCTTTAAAAACAATTCTCAAGCACAAACATTGACTCATCTGCTGCACTTTCAGTTTTCCATCAATGAAAGCCTTTCACATTAAAACATGCTTGAATTTTTCATAAAGTTTTATTTTACTTTTCTGATTTCATTCTCTCAAACACGGTTGTGAAGCTAGGGTCTGCAGCTAGTTACGCAAATGTACAAAACTTGTTTTCACACTTTACAACCCGTAGGGCCAACACACTTTACAACACGTAGAGCCTACACACTTCACAACACGTAGGGCCTACACACTTTACACCATAGGTGGGGCCTACACACTTTACATCATGTAGGGCCAAGCAAAATTGTCAAAATTAAGTCCATATGTTTCTGGACTCACCTAAAACAACATTTTACATTGCCACATTATTTTTTTTTTAGTACAGCTTGATATGCCAGCTTATCACTTCAAGTAATGACTTTCAGCACAAACACTTCATACAGGTTTATTTTAAACCCCACAACAAACCTCTGACAACTTTTAAGGTTTACGTTGTCACCTCTGTGAACTTTTCATGTGGTTATAAAGCAGAGGTGCACACCCTTATGGTACATTTCTTTTTCACTAAACCTAGCATGCCCTAGTGGCAAGCTAAACCAAAGTGGCCAGCTATACCAAAACGGTCTAGCTATGTATCAGTGACATGCTTTAACACAATGGCCCAGCTATACCATAACGGTCTAGCTATGTATCAGTGACATGCTTTAACACAATGGCCCTGCTATACCAAAATGGCCAGCTATACCATTAAGGTCTAGCTTTTTATCATTGGCCTGCTTTAACATAATAGCCAGCCATACAGTAATTGCCAGATGTATCAAACTGGCCTAGTTACACCATCTTGGCCCACAGCATACCAAAATAACAAACTTATTTATACAATAATTGTACTGGCATATTAAAGAAAAACAACCATCAATGAGATGAGCATAACACAACTACATTACAAAGGTTACGTATATGGCTAAAAGGGTGGCAGGGATAAGCATGTTCAAAAGCAACAGTCGCTCTCTTCTTTCAAGTTCTTTCAGACACTTATTACTGGCACAATAGTTTTCATAACAAAACTGAATTATGTCCATCCCATCCCGTTTGAATATGTACACTAAAATAAGCACATTCTCTCTCTCCCTTGTCCTACTTTCATATACATAATCATTCCTTATATTTTTCAATAGTGTTCTGATCAACTGTTGATAAAGCAAAGGCAAACAGAGTTAAATTCAGAAGGCCATGGTCATTGTTTTTAAAAAAAGAAAGTAGTATACCGTGTGTCAGCTGTTCTTTGATTGATGAGAGGCATCTTGTCAAATGTGTACACTGTCAGAATTTTGAGAGGCATCTTGTCAAATGTGTACACTGTAAGAATTTTGAGAGGCCTCTTGACAAATGTGTACACTGTATGAATTTTGAGAGGCCTCTTGACAAATGTGTACACTGGAGATGATTGGCTGAGGCCACCAGCCACCTATTAAAAAGTGCCAGAAATTAAATTCCAACCCTGTGTCGGTCTGGAAATACACAAGACAGTTTTGAATATTCTCAAGCTCCTTAGAAAGTTCAAATGCAAGTGGGGAATGTTATTAGATCCTAGTCCTGGGTGGGCCAGCCTTGTTTCCCTTTTAAACAAATGAGGTTATAATTGGAGAGAACTTCATTTAATTTGTTGAAATTATCAATAAAGCTCATGAGTAAAACCCGGTACTTTTTAAAAAATACAAATTTGAGTTTTTAGTGCTAGCAATGTGACAAAGCACCCAACAGCAGTGTGCAGAGGTGTTGTTTAAATAGTGGCAGAACTGAATGCATGCTTAAGAAAACTAAGAATATTCACATACATAGTTGTATTTCTTAAATAAAAAATTTAAATTGATTGCATTTCCAAAAGCAGATGGGTGCAACTGCACTTACCCAGGAAGAAAGCATGCAGTGAAATTTTAAATATGACGAGAAGGAAAAAAAACCCAGCACATCTTCATCAATGGACTTAAAACAAAGCCAGAAAAAAAGCAGTCAGAGAAAAAAAACCCGGTGACTCTGACCCTGTCATTTCCCCTTTCAGCATGATAGAGCAACCACCTTGTTACTTCTAGCTACAATGTAGACATCAAAAGTCCATCAAATTCTACCGTAATATTCACGCTGTTACAAACCTATTTCTTGCTTTCACTTATTTCCAAATGAATCTGACCAAGCTCTGAATCATAAAAATTAGAGCAACTCATTTGATTAAGTCGTTGATCTCATTGTTGGTGTTCAACTCCTGGAAATGATATACTAATATTAGATAAGACATTGAGCTTTGACAGGGGCACAAAATTAAAACAACAACCCAGTTATATATTTCTTTATGTACCGTAACTGAAGTTTTAAGGAATTATTTCATATGGTCTGTAACCTTTCTCCGTTGACCCTTAAAACAAAATTTATCCCATACTTAAATATGAATTTCATCTATAGCTAAAAGTATTTTATTCTTAAATTTAAATCACTTATGATCAATGGAGCCATAGCCAAAGGCCCTCATTAATTTTATACAATCATTTTCGTTTAAAAAAGCTATGGCCAAGCCAACAACCTTGAATTTTTTTTGGGTCAGTCCTAAAAGATGTGAGATATTAATAAAATTTTTAAATGCTTGGGTTTTTGCCGACTCAATAGCTGAGCACCCAGGTAGCATTTAAAATTAAAATAAGTTTGCTATGTTATAAAATGGCTCAGGATTTTTTGTACAAAAAAAACAAGAGTCTGACCAAATGATTCACCCGCATGATTGTGTGATGTCATATGTGGCTGAATCCTCCATTTTGACATCATGAATACAACTTAAACAGTCTAAGACATATTTATAATTTTTTAAATAAAAATATTTTAGTACTTAATGAGAGAAATATCAGTTTGTAGAAGAAAATGAAAGCATCTATTTACTCCAATATAAAACTCATCTCTGGCACTATTCAGTATAATCCACATCAAAAGATTATTTAGACATTATCATTTTGCCATTGATGTATGTCACATGATAAATGGGATAAAATATTTACACTTAAATCATATTGTCGCTCCATCTAAATGTTGTGTTCATTAATATGACAGGCTGGGGCTACTTGCAATGTACAATCTTGATTTTGCTTTACTCAGCAAATTTAGCTGAATTGACACACTGACAGGTAAGGATACAAAATGTCCAAGTTTATTTCACAAGCCTTAATAAAAAAAAAAATGACTAAAATTAATTAGCAAAGATTTCATTGAAAAAAAAAAAATCATGGCTGATTACTTCCTTGGACATTTTAAGGCACTTTCAACTGGAATTTTTAAGAAAGTATCCAAGTTTATTCTCAGATTCTAGTGAATTAAAATTACAGCAGGAAGCTTATACTATAGGTTTAGTTCAGAATTCCTTGTACCGGTACATAATTCAGCCTGCCTAACTTAGATGAAACTGGACAAACTTTTTAGACTTTCAGCAAAGAAATGATTTCAAGAATGTATTTATATTCAAATGAGTTATTGTGTCTTGAATTAACTTTTTCTCTCACCCTTGGAATTAAACCATATGATAACCTTAAATGGATGCTTTAACGGTGACACCATGTTAACATTTCTCTACAATTGAGTTCATCCTTTAGGCTTGTACATTATTAAAAAGAGAGATAACTGGACTCGACAATATCAAATGTTTACACACAAAAAAAAAAAAAATACACCTGACTGCTAATTAAAATATTTCAAAAACAGAGATAAGCTTATTAAGTCAATACTCAACAATGAAATATTCTTTTTTCTTAAGCACTACATGAAGTGCTTTGGTGTTATCTCACGTTCAGTATTTTTGACTCTCAAACCAATATTCACAAACAGTGCTCTTGTCTCTCAATTTTTACCAGAGCTTATTGTATAAAACTAATATTTTAAAGCATCACATGGTCACTTACATGCCATTTATGCAAAGTCATTAATATTTCAACAAACTTATCATATAAACATGTTAAATATAATTGTAAAAAAATTGATAAGACAACCATATGCATACATTTTAGTATGATAGTAAAACTCTTTCAAGAAGGACAGTGCTTAAACAAAATTACATCTTACATTAAAATGTATTACTCTGAAATAATTAGTTATACAATGTCACTAGCACATCCTGCTCTTGTTGCCCATGTGGACTCATTCTAAAGGGGGTGTTCATCCTCACATCGCCCTTCAAATAATCTGGCCACGGGATAATCTCTATATTTTTATATCCTCTTGTTCAGCAAGGCATGCTAATGTTTTCCTAATACGCAGAGCTGTGAGACGGGCCGCAGCGTTACTGTACCAGCATTCCTTCATCAGGCGAGCCATGACACGAAGAGACTGGAATTGTAACCAAATAGAAAACTTGTTACAACAAGGCTGCAACAAAAGTATATGTGTATGGACTTGGGGGAGGAAGGGTGGGGGGGAAGGGGGTGTCTGATTACACGAGTCTCAAGAAAGGCATATGAACCAGTGGGGAACAATTACAAGGATCTGTGATGATTCACCATAACAGCGCAATTTTGCAGACGTTGATTAACCCACAAACTGTCATAACCGCCAATCCTCTGCTGCTATGGCTGGTGCTGTGATGATATGGCTGATTTAATCAGCCTCTACAGAACTGTAGCTTAAATCATCGGCATGGGTTTTACCGCCACCCAAGCCTCATATCCGTTAACGGGAACATGTTTCAACAACAAAAAGCTCTAACTAAATATATATATTTATACATTTTTTTTTAGATTTGGAAAAGGGATATCAATTGTCCCAAAATAGATGTGGTTGTGGCACAAGACTATGCTATATATTTTTTGTGATCTATACAATTAGTGTTACTTTCAAAATACATTCACTATTTATTTGGCAAAGAAGAACTGGATTGACATTAAAAAATGCTTGAAGAAAAACAATAGCAAAAAGGCATACCAGTTGGTGAAAGAAATAATCACTGCAAATCAAGGGCATAGTACTACCTGTTACATTAAGAAATGGCGTCAGCGGGGCCAGTCTAAAACTCTTATGCCCCCCCCCCCAATTACCCCTCCCCGGTCCGACGTATCGGGCCGCGGAGCGGCACGTTGGAGATGCCCACTCGTCAGGATTTTGCTTTTTGTTCATTATATGTTACATTAAGAAATGACGTCAGGGGGGCGAGTCTAAGACTCTTTATGCCCCCCCCCCCCAAATTACCCCTCCCCGGTCCGACGTATCGGGTCGCGGAGCGGCACGTTGGAGATTCCCACTCGTCAGGACGGCCCCGACACGGGCCCCTCACCCAAATCCCCCACCTGGGCGCCTGGGCGCTCGACCAGGATCCCGCTTGGGGGCCGCCCCAACGAGGAGGCACCCGGTCGATCCGACACTATGCGTTTAAACAGTGCACTCGATCGACTTTCTCTAGGAGTCGGGATGGAAAAATGTACGTCCTAATATCTTCCCCCATCCATCCCGGGAAAGCGTCGGATTCCACAGTGGGTTTCCACAACGTGACTAGTTCACGCTATAGCTGGGACGAAACGGTTGCCTAGGGGCAGCGTTCTCACGGCTGCATTATTTGAATCCTCGGCCAGAGGTTACCACCCTCACTTCTGGCCTCATACCCGCCAACGGCAACTTGTAATCATGATCCCTACCCTGGCTCTGCCTAACTTTCCGACTGCGAAATATCGCAACCGGCAGCCCTGTGGGAGCTGTTTTATGTACGGCAGGTACCGAGCACACCCTTTGTCTGCCCACGCGGGGCGTGCCCAGTAGTTATGTTTCCAGGCAAACGCCGAGGGGGTCGGTGGCCGACGCTTCCTAATCGGCAAGCCACAACAGACTTGTCAACCGGAAACCTGGAACGCATAGTACTACCATACAAGATAAAAACGGTAAATGTTTGACAGAGGAAAATGATACCCTGAAAAGATGGACTGAATACTGCTCAGAGCTGTATAATGAAAATATAAAGACAGATCCAGAGATCCTTAATGTCCCTCCAGCAACGGATAATGAATACTACCCTATTCTCCGCGCAGAAATAGAAGTCCAAGGAAAGGGAGCAGAAGTGGATAATATCCCTGCCAAGTTGGTGAAACAAGGAGGAGAAGAAATGATAAATGCCCTAATCAATATTTGTAACAAAATATGGCTCACAGGGGAATGGCCCAAATCATGGACCCAATCGCTCATCATCACCCTCCCAAGAAAGGTAACCTACAGCTATGCCAAAACTATCACATCATTAGCCCAAAAAGCCACCCAAGCAAGGTCATATTGAACCGAATAAGACCATGTGCCGACAGAATCATTGCTGAAGAACAGGCGGGCTTCAGGCAAGGACGTGGCACTACTGAGCAGATTCTAAACCCCCGAATACTATGTGAGAAATATACTCAACACCAACAAAACCTATACCACGTCTTTGTGGATTTCAAGAAGGCATTCGACAGGGTTTGGCATGCTGCTTTATGGGCAACCATGAGGCACTACAACATCAGCACAAACCTAACCAGAATGATATGCATCCTCTATGATAAGGCCACCAGTGCAGTCTTCTTCAACAATAACATCGGAAAATGGTTCAAGACCTCGGTTTGAGTACGACAAGGCTGCTTGGTCCCCCCCCCCCCCCCCCCCCGCTCAACATTTTTTAGAGAGAATTATGTCAGATGCACTGGAAACGCATGCAGGAACAGTCAGCATTGGTGGCAGAACAATCACCAACCTACCCTTTGCGGATGACATAGATGGACTGGCTGGAAGCGAAGAAGAGCTAGCCAACCTAGTAAAGCGTCTCAACAAGACTTCATCATCTTTTGGCATTGAAATCAGTGCAGAAAAAACTAATGATGAATAGCACCACCGGCATCGCCACTGAAATTAAGGTCGGGGAGGAAAGATTTAGGCAGCTTCAAGTTCCTAGGAGCAATAGTCTCCGAAGAAGGCTCCAAGCCCGAATTAATCTCCAGGATTGCCCAGACCACAACAGCACTAAAGAGGCTTAAGAAAATATTGAACTACAAAAATATAGCCCCCAGCATCAAAATCAGGCTGATGCGCTCATTAGTCCTCTCTATTTTCCTGTATGCCTGTGAGTCTTGGACATTAACAGCAGAACTTGAAAGAAATATAAAGGCGATGGAGATGAGATTTTTCAGAAGCATTCGTGGTATCTGTAGTAGAGACCATATCTCTAACGAACCAATGAAAGAAAGGATTCATGAAGCAATTGGGCAGTACGATAACCTCCTGGTGACTGTAGAAAAGCGCAAACTGGAATATGGCCACGTGAAAAGAAACAAGGGCTCGCCAAAGAAATCATGCAGGGTACAATGAGAGGAGGGAGAAGAAGAGGAAGACAGAGAAAAAGATGGTAAGATAACATCAAAGAGTGATCGGGACTAAAACTAGGTTATGCCGTGTGAAGTGCAGAAAACAGAAGGAATGGAGAAGGATAGTTTTCATGTCATCTGTGGCGCCCAAATTTTTGACATTTATTTGATTTGAATATTTGTTACCAATACTTGCTCTTCTCCATTTGCTGAGTAACTTCTCAATTTTTTTTAAATTTTAAAACAATCAGACTTTAAAAATGATGCATATTGTTTCTCTAATAAAAGAAAAATCATATACCTCAATATTTTGCCACCTGTTGGGAATAGCTGGTCTCTGCTTATCTCCACAAACAATCTTACGCATTTCTTCAAGTGAGGGATCAGAGGGTACCAAATCATAATACGGCTGTTGATATTCTTCAAAAATGCCTGCAACGATTTAAAAAATGTTTTTAATACATATTCCTTTAAATGACTTATAGCGAAACATAAATTCTATCAAACCCATGTTTTAGTGATCATAATGTATGATCAATTTAATTCATAAAATTAGATATTTTAACAAAATAATGCTTAATTTTACATACAAAAAAAACAACTCCAAAGAGTGTTTAATGTCTAGTAACTTCAAGTAATGGCCACCTACCTCCTACAGAACATCGCCTGGCTATTTCCCACAGTACTAGACCAAATGAATAGACATCTGCTCTTTTGAAAGACTCAAAATGATCCATGTTAATGGTCTCATCTAAGCACTCTGGGGCCATGTAGCGTTTAGTGCCGACTCTGTTGTTGGGAGCTATGTCTACACTGTCCAGCTTAGAATCATGACGCACCGCCAAACCTGTTTTATAAAATAGAGGAGAACTTTAATCAAAATAGGAATGCATGACTACCTCTTTCTGTCCTTGTCACCATCACATATTACAGAAATAGTTCTCAAAGTTTTCCCAGCCAAACTCACCACGGCCCCAAAATTTTGCCATGACCGTCCCCCGTGGAGCCAAATTATAAGCAACCAGAAGCATTCCAAGGTAGAGAATATAATCATTTTATACTGTAGCCAAAATAGTTGCTACTATTTTTAAGAAGGTGCTGGGTGGCTGAGTGATCTAAACTGAGTTAATCCCAAGCTAATGGGCTGGAGTTCAATCCCCCAAAAACGCCTAGATAAACAAAAACATCAGAACCCCAGGTGGATGGGACTCATTAACCTTGGATGGCAACTCATCTCAGAGAACTTCACAATCAAGTTTAGAGAAGGAGCCCCGTAGGTGTTACGACAATGACTCCATGAAAATTCCCACAACTCCTGCGACATGGAATGCATAAAGAGCACAGTGATGTCTTATGAAACACCCACTGCTGGTCATCTAATGCATCCTGGTCTATTTCCAGGTGTCTCGCCTAAGTCTAGCCATTGAATAAAATAGGCCAGAGATTGACGAAGTCAGCAACTCTCCCTCACTTCAAAAACTGTCTTCCTCCTTTACTGCATTAGCATAAAAATTAATATCTCTTGTTGCATATCCTAATTGTCGCCAAGTACCAGCAGACAATTATCTTGCACCTCACCCTTCTTTTCCAGTTTTGAAGGGCTAGGATTTTAGTACAACTCTGGGCGCCCAATTATTTCACTCAAACTGATTTCTAAGTTTATTGACAAGTAAGTAAGACATATTAGGTTTGAAAAGGCTGGTCTCATTCCCATGCAAATGTAAATTATGACTCTGGCTAACAGCTGGTAGGATCAATGTTTCACAGATTCTTGGTTGTGAATTTTGTAATTTATCATTAACAATGAAATATTGCAACATACCATGCACACAAGTCATGTTTTATAAAATGAGCAAAAAAAGTTTGTTGGTGTTCAGGTGAGTTTTAAAGTCCATTTAAATACTAAAAGTCTTGGACCAGGTGCTGTTTGCATGGAGCATCTAGCTAACTTTAAATGTAATGTTAATTGCCCATTGTGCATCTGTTTAAAAAAATAGATCAAATGTCTTTTACCTCTTGTCAAGAGAGAAAAAAAAATGTCTCTATCATTGACACTTCTTTATTAATGAAAATGATAACCAAATATAGGTTCTGGTCTTTCTCTGAAATATATCATTTAACATTTTTTATTAAGTATTTCCAATACAAACCCCCCAACCCTCTAAGTTTCCCCAGTAGCCTTTAAGCCCCCCCCCCCCTTCCCCACTTCCCAATCCCATTGGCATCTGGGGAGCGGTACCGCCAACTTTGAGAACCAATGTATTAGAGTTTCAAAAGTAAAGACAGCAGTCTTATTCTCTAAGAATGTACTACAGAAGGTACCTCAACTACAAGACTATCTGAATCTGATGCTTTATGGTAATAAAGGAATGTAATGTCACAAAGAAAATAAAATAGTGCAAGAGCCCAAACAAGGTCACAATGAAGCAGGAAGTGTGACCAATATCCTCTACTAAAGCTAAAACAAATACTTTTTGGGTCAGTGGCGAAGTGTCTTTGCGTCCTGGTTGAATGCTCAGGTAGGGTTGAAATTGGACAGAAGAGAACCGCCCAATGAACAAAGAAAACATGATAAAAGATGAGAAGAATTTTCTGTATAATTCTATCTCCCTATTTTCCAGCATATATCAGATGGCAGTTAACTGCGTAGAATACCTTGTGATAAAAATGAAATATTGTCATAATTTGTTGTGTTTGTTCAAATGTTACCTGGTTTTTACTAATTTATATATATTTCAACAAGAGCATTTTACACAATTTCACATCCAAATCAAAGGAGACTAGATAGGAGCTGTGGAGTTGGAAATTTATTTATGACTGAAAAAGTTGATTCAAAGCAGAGGTCTAACAAAGTAGTATCTTCCTAACTCTTTGACATAACCTCATTGTAGCTGGTCACCCATTGAATTTTTTTTTTACATTGGTCAATGGTACCAGCTAACGCTTTATCAATAATTTATCTATAGGCAACGGATGGCAAAGATTTTGTTGTAATCCCAGAACTGCAAGTAATTTTAGAATTGGTAAAGTCACGTTAACCCAAATCCACACAACACAGACTCCGACTGTCCAGTTTCATGACAGACGACTAGCTTTCGATATTATTATCTGTGTCCAAAAATATATATCACGACAGAAGAAATTAATTCTTATTGTTTCAAAATTTTTTGAATGTCCAACTAGACAATTATAAAAAAAAAAAGTACATTTAAGATTCTTTCCATCTATTACTACAATTAAGGCTGTCTTTTGTGGTAGTCTAAGTCTAAGGATTGAGATTTAAGTTTAAAGTCATTTTGTTTTTATGGGTCTGAAAAAGGCTTGGTAAAACAATGAAAAAAGACATGGGAGTTAAACCAGTTAACACTTGACACTGAGCAGTGGTAAATGATGCAACTAAATAGAACACTGAGTGTTATAGAGAGCATGCATCACAAACATTAGATCAAGATGCTTTATGTCTTTAAAAAGTGCCAAGCAGAATACGTACAGTGTTAATAATATCATTAAAATTAAACTACCAGCTACCGTATTTTACAGACTATAAGACACATTTTCTTCTTCAAAAAATTGCCTCCAAAATTCAGGTGCGTCGACGAAATTAATATAAAAATGGTAAGAATGTTATTTTTAAAGAAATTGCTTAAAAATTAAGGTGCGTGTTATAGTCTGTAAAATACGGTACCTAGCGCCTAGAGTTAAAATAAGTGCTTACCAAGGTCAGCTATACAACAGGTGCCATTGCTTCTAACTAAAATATTCTTGGACTTGAGATCCCTGTGAGCAATGGCTGGTTTTCCTGAAGAGTGAATAAAAATACATTACGATTTTAAAATTTATTATTAAACAAGTGATGTCTTATGGAAACTAATTGATTAATTAGATAGTTGGGTCATAGAGAAAAACATTATCGTCTTCCTCTTAATGCCCACAGCTGTAGGAGAAATCAAACACATTCCAAACTGTATTTAAACTTTTGTTACTTCATTGGATACTGGGGGTAGATAACTTTTTAGGGATATTATTATGTCAAAAATAAATTGGTATAGTTTATGCCAATGAGGATAATCAAGCTGGTTAGGTCAGTTTTTTAAAAATTGGGACATATACAAATATTGACTCTGCTTATCCCCTGCCTTCTGCAGACAAGTAAAACATCCAGACTGCGTAGGATTGAAATCTTATTGGTATACGATTCTAAGCTGATATGGTAGCAAGCAACGAACAGAAAAATAATGTATGATTTAATCAGACTGTTTAAATGTTACAGAAAATATGAAATACACGGTAGGGAAAAACATCATCATCCCATCCCTGTGGCGCTACAGCCCATGTAGGGCTTTGGCCTGCCTCACTACTTCCTTCCACTCAGACCTAACTAATGCCTTTCTTTTCCATGCTTGGACTTTCAGCTGCTGTAGATCTTTTTCTACATCATCTATCCACCTAAGCCTAGGTCTGCCTTTGAGCCTTTTTCCTCTGGGGTATTGGTGATGTACCCTCTTCGTTCCTCTGTCATTTGGCATTCTCTCTAGGTGTCCTGCCCAGCGTAGCCTGCCTCTTTTTATTTCTGCCACTATCGTAGGATCCTGATATAGACTGTATAATTCCTGGTTGGTTCGTATTCTCCATCCATATTCATCCTTTGTTGGCCCATATATTTTCCTGAGAACTTTCCTCTCCCATGTGTTTAATAGGTTTTCTGCTGTTTTTGTTAGGGTCCAAGTTTCACTTGCATATGTTACAACTGGTCTGATCACAGTTTTATAAATAGTTTTCTTTGTTTCTCTTGAAATGTTTTTACTTTTGAGTATTTTCTGACTACTGAAGTATGCCATGTTTCCGGCTGATATTCTTTCTTTTATTTCTGTTAGTGATTCGTTTCTTTCATTTAACAAGGATCCTAGGTATTTGAATTGATTTACTTTTTCAAAAGTTTGGTTTCTAATTTTAATTGTTTCTCTCTTATCATGGTCATGTATTTTGTTTTTTGGTTGTTAACTTCCAGCCCTGCTTGTAAAGATGGGTCTTCTAATTCAATAAAGGATTTTGATATGTCTTTTATACTTTTCCATAGAAGTGCTATGTCATCAGCATATGCAAGATACTGAAGTGGTTGGTTGTAGAGTGTGCCCGTTGGTTGTGGGTCTTGAGTTTCCCTCAAAAAGTATCCTGTTATCATTCCTCGAGTGTCAATGTGTATGTTTCTAATAACTCTCTCCAATGTTAGGTTAAAGAGCATACAAGACAGTGAGTCTCCCTGTCTAATATGAAATTCCCTTGAATATTCTCCTTGAATCTTGATTTTGCTTTTTAAATTGTTTAGTGTTACATGTATTAGCCTTGTCAGTTTGTTGGGTATCCCAAACTCCTGCAGAGTCTTATATAAATAGTTTCTTTTGATGCTGTCATAGGCTATTTTATAATCGACATAGAGTTGATGTACTGGTATATTAAATTCATAGCATTTCTCTAATAGGCATCTGATGGTGAAAATCTGATCAGTCGATCTGTTAGGCCTGAATTTGCATTGGTAATCACCTAGTATTTCTTCAGTGTAAGGTTGTAGTATTTTGGCAATAAGTTTAGTCAGTATTTTGTATGTAACATTTAATAGGGAGATTCCTCTGTAGTTTGTGCACTGAAGTTTGGAGCCTTTCTTGTGTATTGGGGTTATTAATGCTGTTTCCCATTCTGTCGGGATTTTCTCCTCTTGCCAAATTTTAGTTATAAGTTTATGTATCTGATTGTGTAGTTCTTTTCCTCCATATTTAATCAGTTCTGCTGTGATAAGGTCTTGTCCGGGGGCTTTGTGATTTTTCATGTAATTAATTACCTCTTTGGTTTCTTCTAGGGTTGGGCATTGTATAAACGGGTCTGGTCCTCCCTGTGGGGGTTGATAATCTTCATTTTGTCTATTGTCTGCATTCAGTATGTCCTCAAAATATTCAGCCCACCTCTCCAATACTTTACTATTTTCCGTGATTAATTCTCCATTGTGGCTCTCACACATTTGCGGTCTGGCTTGGTATCCATTCTTTTCATCTTTTATCTTCATGTACATTCCTCTTATATTTCCCTCTCTTGATAAATCTTCTATTTCCTTTAGTTTATCCTTTTCCCATTCCCTCTTTTTCTTCCTACACATTTTTGTTGCTTTCCTTCTGGCTTTCTTGTATGCTTGTGTGTCTTTCTGGTTTCCCTTTGTAACATGATCATTCGTGCTTTGTTTCTTTCTTCCACAGTCTCTCTGCATTTATTGTCGTACCAGCCTTCTCTATTGTTGTTAAATTAAACAATTTTATTTCTAATGCAAATATTTATGATGTATTTTTGAAAAAAATAGGAGTGTTAAATTTTAGAACCACAAGAAAGTATTTTGCTATTCAATATATTTGTTACAAGGTGTGTCATGTCCAAATGTAACAAGTTTAAAAATTACATGTCAGCCATGTGACATAGTTTGCAAAGCTCTCCCATGGTTGTCACATGACAATGTGAGTAAATTTTAACAATACCCTGAGCTCCCAAGATCTCCATGTGAAGATGTGCCATTCCACAAGCAGCTGTATGGGCTAGACGTACCATACCCATGGGGCTGACGGTCTGACGGTTGAGAAAGTCAAACAAGGAGCCGTTCTCATGGTAGTCAGTGATTAGCCAGAGCTGGGTCCATGTGCCATTGTCTGTGGAGTGGCAGCGAGATAAGATCTTATTGAGTCTCTAAATAAACAAATGACATCCTTATTTTCTAAAGCCAAAAGACTGGCACTAAGCGCTTTACCAGAAGTAGAATTTTGTAAAATAAAAGTTTTATGAAGACTGAAATTTTCTAATTAACATGAAAGCAACTTCCTGCTTACTGTATGAAGCTGAATTAAGAAAAAAAATTCAGGGGAATAAATGGGAGGGGTGTTCAGCTTATGAGAGGGTAATAGGAGATTTGTATAATAACACCAAGTACAATGAAATAGCTACTGTAGTAGCTAAGGTAATAGTTTACCGCACACTCTACAAGATTCAAATACATAACCAGAAGTTTTAAATATTCATAAAAAAAACATACCAGGGGTAAATAACGCAACTATAGGCCCAACTTAATAAGAAGTTTAAAAAATCCTCACAAACTAGTGTAATTATAGTGTAAAACCAAAACAATGTGAGAAAAAAAAAAAAAGCCTACACTTCAAGGCAAGGTAAAGGAAAGTTTTTGATGTCATTTGAATAATTAGTGCAAATAAATTGAGATCTTTCAGTTGTCATGTTTAGAGCCAAAAAAAAATAACAATAATTCTTAAAAATCCCCTCTCCCATGTTTTGCAAAAAATTTCATAGGGGGAGCTCCACCACTGGCTATGCTACTGCTTGCATGGTTAGTCAAGCCGGGTTGAATTAAGATGATGAAAAAAAAAAAAAAAAAAAGATACTTCCAAAAGAAGAAAATAAAAAAATCCCCTCTCCCATGTTTTGCAAAAAATTTCATAGGGGGAGCCCCACCACTGGCTATGCTACTGCTTGCATGGTTAGTAAAGCCGGATTGAATTAAGATGATGAAAAAAAAAAAAAAAAAGTTACTTCCAAAAGTAGATAATTAAAATTGTCGGATACGACAGATTTTTCCATCTCTTTTATTTTGAGATTTAATCAGAAAAACTACAGGAATATACTTAGAACTATAGTTCTGACAGGTCTTGGCGTACAATCTGAAATGACATCTTAAAATCATAAGAGCAACCAGGTCTGTTGAAGGGGTTGGCGTATGAGCGAGTTATACACTTTTCGGGTTTTCCAGATAAAGGGGTTCACGGAAAAAAATAACGAACTGGCTTTAGAAAGATTATCTAGGGAATTAAAAAAAATAAACAAATAATAGTTTTAAAAATGATTGTTATGTCAAACACTATTGACCAAATATAAGAAAAGAAAATGATAGATACAAGAGCCAGTTATAAAAAAAGTATTAGATTATAAAGTTGATAACTTACAACTCAGATAATGTATATAAACTTTGCAGGTCCAAACAAAGCAATTTAATATTTTACCTTTGTTGTCAGCAGCTATAAATCCCAATATGTTTTCATGCCTCAACATAACAGTCTGGTAAATCTCTGCTTCACGGAACCAGGACCTCTCCTCTCGAGATGAGAAAATCTTCACTGCAACATTTTCTCCTCTCCAGTTACCCCGCCAAACCTCACCATAACGTCCTTTACCGATGATTTCACATAATCTTATCTGACGAGCTATGGTTCGCTGTACTAGCAATGGGAGACCTGAAATATAATGATGACATGATAAAGTCCACAATTTATTTACCCAGTTCAGGAAGACTTGAATAATAAAAAAACTTTGAAATAAAGTAATGACTTGCTTAAGCACATTACAGGTTGATCAGGTCAATGAAACAGAAAATTTAAATGATAATTTTAAATTTATTGTTAAGAAGTTTGCCATTAGGATCAAACTATTTGTCATTGCCTACAGACCATTTAAGGTCTAAAGACCAAATCTATCCCATTCACCATTGAATTCAGATTAACAAAGGCCAAACATCTTTATTGGCAATGAATGTTTTTAACTTTATAGTTTCAACTTTTGAATATTTAAATTCTTTTTATATTTTCAAAATTAAGTTTCACGCGATCAATTAGAAAAAAATTATTTAAATTGTTAGTAAAAAAAATGAGTTGGCTGTCATCTGGGCACAGCTTACTAGTCTAACCAGAGATGTACAACTGATATGGAATTAACAAAGTGTACACAGTAACTGCCACTCACCTGAACCTGAGCCAGATTGTGACCAGTCATAAAGCTCTTTAAGAGACGAAGGTTGTGAGCCCATCAAAAGGCTGGTGTCACAGTGTTGATCGAGAGGCTGTGCATATGGATGAGGCCGCCTTCGTAGGTAACAAAATACAACAAGACCCAGCACACAAATACTGAAAACTATTATGGGCAGAACAATCATCACAACAAGATCCGTTGAGCTCAGGAAATTTTCTGAAAAAGAACGAATAAAGTAAAAAAAAAAAACCAACATAAAAAGTAGGAAAAAAATGTACTTTTAAGAGTTAATGAGGCATACACTGAATATTTTGTTTTTGTTTGAAAGCAGGGTGGCAGCATTCATGCCAAGCGATACATTTTACCTGTATTATTTACATGTTTTTAAAACTAGAAAACTGGTTTAGGATTTGAATTGATGTACACAGAGATTTAGAAAAGAAAATGCCACTTCAAAAATGGCGGCAGATGTGGACATTTGATTTGACTCTTACAAGAAATTCAATGTTGGTGAAATAGAAGCTTAAACACCTTTGGTCAATTCAAAGAGACTGATTGGTTGGATTATATGAGAATTCAAAGAGACTGATTGGTTGGCTATCTATGAGAATTCAGAGACTGATTGGTTGGATATCTATGAGAATTCAAAGAGACTGATTGGTTGGATATCTATGAGAATTCAAAGAGACTGATTGGTTGGATATCTATGAGGTAAGGTCTACAAATAAAATTTGGGAGTGGAGCTTCAGTGACAAGTATTTAGTTCTTATTGAATAGCAAGCATGGTAGCAAAAGAAGTAGTAGCTTGGAGAGCATTTCAGCTGGTAGAACACCATAGTTACAACCCTGCTTGTGTAATTCTTAGCAAGAACAAGTGTTAATATTGTTTTAATCTTTGTCTGAAACTTTTTAATATACCCAGAGATTATTACCCTTTATCCCAAACAATAGCGTTAGCTATCACTTTTATTCACTGGGGCATTATTTAATGCACTGGTAACGGCTGTAAACACAGTGTTATCACTTTATAAAATTAAAGCCCGCACCAACTTCTTTGATGTACGGGTTCTATGGAGCTGAATGAGAGAGAATTGTCAATTATCTTATTTATTTAATGTTATTATTTTATCTTGCTGCTAACTGTCCATTGAATAGCATATACTCATTTCTAAAACATACATTTTGAAGTAGACACACCCCAGGGGAAGTTTCCTTTGAAAGTTAGTGGATGTCTGGATGGAATTTTTGAGTCTTTACCTATCAGCGCATGCCACATGTTTGACAAAAGAGACATCAAAGTGCTTGTGACAAGCTTTATCATCCCCTTTAAAAAACCAACACAAGGCAATGAAGGGAAATTATATATATATTAACACCTTATATCCACACAACACCAAGTGGTGGCGTCAACATAACATTGCAACAACTAAAGTTTGTGAATAATTACCCTTTCGCTTCATGCTCATTTCAAGCATGTACACTACATTCATAAATGGATAGATCACAACTTTTATAAAAAAATTGATCAAATTTTGAGTTCTTTTACAATACTCAATGGTAATTTTGTTAAAAGTGGACTCAGATGATGAATTTGATAGCAGTTTAGATGTAATTAGACGTAATTCCTCAGTCAGTTATGTTAGATGTAGTAATACAGATTCCTGTAAAATTAAAATTTATACTGACACTAATTTGGAATCTCAAACAAATCCATATAATAAAACAGTGAATATATAAAAAAACTAATAAATTTTATAAATTTGGGTTCTTACAATCTATTGTCAAATGTTCCACAATACAAGATCAGGTCGTCATAATATACAAGAGTGTAGCAGCAGTTGAAAACTATTTTTAGAACATTAGAGTACATCTCATTTTGATATGGTTTGGTACATCATATTCCTATATTTAATACCAGTAACCAGATAGCGATAACATGATCTGCACTTATGGAGAATTGTTTACTGATATTTATTGCAGGAAAATGGGGGGGGACAGACAAAAAGGTCACATCTTTCTTTCCAAGCAGCAGTCATCTATTTCTGAAAATGTTCAGCATGGTCATAATGTGCAAAACTAGTGCCTGTCTTATATTATTATCCTGTATGTTGATTAGTTTTTAAGCCTGTTACACAATGATAATTTTTAAAAAATTAAGATTCTAAAAAAAAAATATTGAATTTCTCTAATGAATTATTGCATACAGTAGCATATTTTTTATGGGGTCAGCTTATGAGTTGGTTATACTCTCACTTTTGATGCTTTTCCCTGCAAAAACTAGTACATCAACTTATGAATGAATGTCCTTTAGAATGAATTTGTATGGTAAATATTAAGAGGCATCATGTTGTAACATTTTAGAGCCTTATTCAAAGTAAAATAATGGTAACACAAGGCCTACAAAAGGCCTAATGAAGGATTAATTAATCTATACATAATAGAAAAATTAACATCAATTCAATTTACTTTAATGTACACAAATTTTAATCAATTAGTTGGAGGATGAAAGAGAATTTTGGTTGGCACAGGGGTCAACTCTCATTTGCTACTGAATTGCAAATATCCTGATCTTTACAACACTAAACATTTTGCTGATGCTTATAAAAATTAATTGAATTCACTTTAATTTAAGGAACAAAATTTTAAAATCAATTACCTGGAGGAGTTTGGACTACTTTAGATGGTATGGGAGTCAACTCTGGTGCTATTGAATTGCAAAGGTCCTGATCTTTACAACACCTAACATTTTGCTGATGCTTATGAAATTCATTCACAGAACAAAATAGTGGACGATTGGGCAAAAAGGTTTTCCCCTTTTCCAAACATCTGTAAAAATAGATATAAAAAAATAAAAAAAGACGCCTCAGTTTGTCATGAACATAAATAAAAGAACAAATTTGAAAATATAAATACCAAGAGTCTTCTTGCTGAGCTTATAATCTTCCAAAAAGGAATTATTTATCTTAAGTCTCATTCAAAAAAGGCTGTGGAACATCACATAGATATATTTGAACAAAAAAGTAATCAAAGTAAAGCCGAGCTTGTCAACCAAATCCACATCAGACCATAAAATAACCTGTATAGTAACTAACTGTATAGAAGAGGAAGATTGACTATCATAAGGATGCAGTGCTGTTAATTACCTTCTGCTGATACGAATAACAGGCTTATCACTGATCTGTACTCCTGCTTTGTCCTTCTCTTTGTCTCGTACAATAAGTGATATGCAGTATCCTCCATCGACAAAACATGTTTTATTTTCAACACCCTCTGGACGGTTGCAGTACTCACACTCAATACACTTTATGCCTGTTGAATAGAAGAAGAAATCGTTAATTGCTAGTCTTCCCATGTTGTGAAATCAATGGTGTTGTTTGACGCACTAGCACCAGAGCCCCATCCCCCCAGGTGAGGACGGATCATTGTCCTACTCTGAGCTATCTGAACAGATTACATCTGCTCCAAGACCTGACTGCCGCCACTGAGGACAGGTGCTGGAGACTGTTGCACTTACTAGATGAGACCCCCCAGAAATCAACATTGAAAGCATAAGTTACAGCTATGCCCAGCGGAAGCAGCATGCATGTAAAGTGCTTGCTGGGGCAAAAATAAGAATGTAATGTTTAAATAATTGCTAGTGTTAAAAAGACTAAGTAAACAGGGTGGGCCCAAAAAGTGAGACTTGTGTAAATAAATGGCTTAACTATTGTGGTAATTGATCCAGTTAGCAACAAGAAGGCGGACACGCAAAATAACACCAAAATAGGAAGGAAGAAATGAAATTGGACTGAACTAAATAGAAAAATATAACCAAAATTAGAGGATCCATTTTTGGAAAATGAGCGGCTCCTTAAAGGGCCTTCTAATACCAATGCATAATTCTACTTCTAGAACTATTGTCCCAACCAAAGGCAGCCAAGGCCATTGTTGTAGTGAACAGGGAAATAACTTAAGGCAGGATGAATGTGGCTACTTTGCATGTGAGGGCTGGACCTGGTGGACCAAGCAGAAGAGATCCATACTTACATGATCCAAAGCAGGTGAAGAAAACGGGATGTGAAATTTTGTATGCACCAGAAATACTGCTGGACTGGTCATCCACTCAACACTGCATCCTGGCCTATTTCCAGTGTTAATGAGCATTTCCCAAAATTTTAAGATCAATGGATTAGTTTTTCATAGCACCAGGACCAGGAACCGGTGCCAGATTTATCATTATTTTTATTTGACCTTAAATATGACTAATATGTCATTCAATAAAAATGTGTTATCCCTGATCAGCCAATGTGAGAGGAGTCTATAATCTATTACTCTGTAGGGCCTGGCGATATTAACTATTATTTTTTTGTTATGACATGGGTGTTTTGAACTTATTTAGACTTAAGTTTTTGTGATAGAAGGTTAGTAGGTAAGTTATGGAATGTGTATAGTCATAGTATCATATTATATTATTTATATCGATAGTGACAGTCTATAGTATAGTATGGAGCATTCTCTATATTATGCAAAAGTAGTAATTCGTTATAGTAAATAGTCCAGTGCATAGGCACAAACAATAGCTAGGCTACTAATACTACCAATAGTAGCTAGCTATTGTCATTGACTAAAGTAATAGTACTTTACTAGTGTTTCAAAAAGTGTTTGAGAAGTTTGTCTAGTTAACTAGCCTTTCTGACTTTAAATTAAACAACTCAATGGCAAAGGACAGTACACCGTCTAACTTACTTTAAATCTAATTTACTAAATAAAGTGCTATTCTTATTTGATGTCTTTAACTTTATAATAATTTATACTTATTAATTAATATGATACACAATACAGTATAGGCATAGTGGATAGGCATAGGCCAGGCTACTTTAACTTTTTATTATTATTTATTTTATTTCTTACCATTAACAATGCAAAAACTAAAGCTCAGTAAGAGTAAATGACCAAGCAAGAGACACTTATTTATATCCATTGTCTCATAAGGAATATCATCACTAATTCGTTGACACCATGATTTTGTTCTCTGATACCAATCGTAATATCGTAGTACTGCAATTTATATTTTTTCACAAACAACAGATACCACGGAGCAATTAGTGTTTCTGCAATAATATAGAGCGGATGCCAAATTACTGCTGTAAGGAAAATACTACGCTGAGATATATATATATATATATATATATATATATTTTGCTCATACCTTCAAATCTATAAACTGCTTCCAAATTATTTTTATTCCAATTCTGTAAATTTTAAGGGCGGGACGAACGATTTTGGGGGGCAAAAAAAACCATCAACAACAGTAAGGCATGTGTAAAATAATAATACAAATTAAAAAGAAATGTTTCAGCGGAGTAATTTATCTTAAACCAATCAAATAATGTAAATGTCAAATCCGTGGTAAAAAAACAAAAACAAACTTCTTTTAAAATGCCGTAATATCCCCCAAAAGTTTTAATGCCACTTTTTTCCCCCACCCTAGAATTTGGCCTAATTTATAATAAAGTTATATTAATAACAGTAAAGTGAGTTTGTTTTTTAAAATTAAAATATAGGCATAGGGCAAAGAGGAGGGCGGGTGGAAGGGGGTGGTGGAGGTGGGCAAACCAAAATAAAGGCTTCGCGGGCCACTAAGATAGCGAGTATGCGAGCCGCATGTCATTACGACTAATATTTTAAATGTGTATAGAAATGTGTACCTGCTCTTAAAATTTGCACTCAAGACAATCTCTTCAAACTCTACAATTCCGACTCATTCTTACCTCCCCCACCCCCCTCTTTTTTTGTTCCTTCTGACCGATAAAGAACGGTAACTGTTTTTTTTTTTTAATGTCATGTTAATTTTTAAAATATTTTTGCTAATCTTGTGAGCAGCGCGGTGAGCCCAGCCCTAAGACCTCTTAATACCGTAATCAAATAATGTAAATTAACTGCCTGCGTACACCCCGGTAGTGTACCTTGCAAAACTATAGGCCCAGACGTGCGTACACCACGGCAAAAAATTACCATGAGATATGAATAAGGCTGTTAGATATGATCTTATTTCTTGTGCAGACTTTTAGTTAACATCAGTTTGCGGCTAGATGATAAGACTAATGGGGAATAGGGTTAAATTTCCCAGAAGCGGATCAAGTGTTACTAGGCTGAAAAATTCTTTCCCTTTCTCATCTGTAGGCCTACACATTAAAAAAAAAATTATAATAATTTACTATTAAAATGTAATGTTAATTTGTAACAAAAGCAATTTTATTTTATTGTGTAGTAATACTGTACCTTATGCGCCGATAATCAAGTATTTAAACTTGAAGAAGATGTGGCAGCCTTTAGACTTTAATAATAATTCGGATAACTGAGTTAAGATTAGCCATACCCCCGGCTCCCAAAAAACTTTTTAATGACTAGCACAAAATCTTGGGACCAAAGCAGAGTGATGCTATTTGCAGTGATGTGTTATTCCAAAGTTCAGTCAGCTTGATGATCTTAAAGGATAGACTTGCAAAAAAAAGGTGGAGCTGGAACCCACTCCCCAAGCATCTTTGTAACCCCATGCCCCATCTGATCATAAAATTTTATACCCCCCCCTCCCACAAAACACAAATTAGTGTGAAGGAAAAAAAGGGTTCTTCATGCCGCCGTAAAGAATTTTCAGATTTGCTGCATTTTTAAAGCTCTAATATTCACAATTGTAGGATATAGATAATTTACAATAGTTGAAACTATATTTGTATTGCAATATATTAAAAAAATAATAAAGTGGTTAAATTTGAAATAATCATGTTTTAACATGAATCCCCCCCACCCCCCTTTTCTTTTTGGTGCGTTTTGTTTTAGAAACCATTTTTTCTTCGCCCTATATCCCAGAGCTTTAGCCACAAATGTAAAGGAACGTATCCATCATCTCCATCAAAACACCCGAAATAATATCAGAAATATTTTATATTTCATAGAAAAAAACATTACAGTTAAATGAACGTCATTACCATAACCATGCGCAATGCTTTCCTGTAGGGACCATGCGCAATGCTTTCCTGTAGGGACCATGTGCAATGCTTTCCTGTAGGGACCATGCGCAATGCTTTCCTGTAGGACTCGATCCTTGCGCAAAAATAAAAAAAATACTAGCACTACTTTTGTTTAATCTTGAAGAGTACAATATTAATGTTATTTATAAGTACCGGTCTGGTCAAAAATTTAAAAAAAATTAATATATATAAAAGGTTTGCAAAGGCTCAAAGACCATGGTTTAGAGCTGGTGTATAACCGCTGAGGCGTACGCAGGCCAAAGTCTCGCACGACACGTAGTGCCGGTCAAACTGTCCAATTAAATGCTAGATAAAAAAAACAAAAACAGAATAAAACTTAACTATTGTCTAATGTGAATGTGACGTCATATTGTCTCTTTTTCTCACTTAACTTAATGTTTATAAACTCGATACCTCTAAAAAATGAATAAAGAACGAAAACAATTATTTGATATATCAGGAATTCGCGGGTCGTGGATTGCCAGTGCAAGTGGGGTTATTACTTCCCTTGCCCCCCAGAGTTATCGATCTTGAAGAGGGAGTTAAAGTTGGATGGAGGGTTTCTTTCACGCATTTCTCCGCCCCTCACCCCGGAGAAAGGCAAGTGCCCCCCCCCCTCCCCCCGAGCAAAATGTGTACAACAATATAAAGATTATATTTATATTTAAAAAAAAAATTAAAACGACTAAATTGTATTTTTTAAACAGTTTTTAATGTCTGTCTTAATGCTTGGATTTATAAATGATGTTGTCTTGAGTCTGTTATAACGCTTGGATTTCTAAATGATGTTGTCTTGAGTCTGTCATTATGCTTAAATTTATAAATGATGTTGTCTTGATTCAGTCATAATGCTTGAATTTCTAAATGATGTTGTCTTGAGTCTGTTATAACGCTTGGATTTCTAAATGATGTTGTCTTGAGTCTGTCATTATGCTTAAATTTATAAATGATGTTGTCTTGATTCAGTCATAATGCTTGAATTTCTAAATGATGTTGTCTTGAGTCTGTCATAACGCTTGGATTTCTAAATGATGTTGTCTTGAGTCTGTCATTATGCTTAAATTTATAAATGATGTTGTCTTGATTCAGTCATAATGCTTGAATTTCTAAATGATGTTGTCTTGAGTCTGTTATAACGCTTGGATTTCTAAATGATGTTGTCTTGAGTCTGTCATAACGCTTGGATTTCTAAATGATGTTGTCTTGAGTCTGTCATTATGCTTAAATTTCTAAATGATGTTGTCTTGATTCAGTCATAATGCTTAAATTTCTAAATGATGTTGTCTTGAGTCTGTCATAACGCTTGGATTTCTAAATGATGTTGTCTTGAGTCTGTCATAACGCTTGGATTTCTAAATGATGTTGTCTTGAGTCTGTCATAACGCTTGGATTTCTAAATGATGTTGTCTTGAGTCTGTCATAACGCTTGGATTTCTAAATGATGTTGTCTTGAGTCTGTCATAACGCTTGGATTTCTAAATGATGTTGTCTTGAGTCTGTCATAACGCTTGGATTTCTAAATGATGTTGTCTTGAGTCTGTCATAACACTTGGATTTCTAAATGATGTTGTCTTGAGTCTGTCATAACGCTTGGATTTCTAAATGATGTTGTCTTGAGTCTGTCATAACGCTTGAATTTCTAAATGATGTTGTTGAATTCTAAATGATGTTGTCTTGAGTCTGTCTTAATGCTTGAATTTCTAAATGATAGTGTCTTGAGTCTGTCTTAATGCTTACATTTCTAAATGATGTTGTCTTGATTCAGTCATAATGCTTGAATTTCTAAATGATGTTGTCTTGAGTCTGTCTTAATGCTTGAATTTCTAAATGATGTTGTCTTGAGTCTGTCTTAATGCTTGAATTTCTAAATGATGTTGTCTTGATTCAGTCATAACGCTTGAATTTCTAAATGATGTTGTCTTGAATCTGTCATAATGCTTGGATTTCTGAATGATGTCGTCTTGAGTCTGTCATAACCATTATCACCTATGCGCCATGTTCTACGTATCATGTGTTAAGTGGCATGTGCTACGTGTCATGTGCTATGTGTCATGTGCTACGTGTCATGTGCTATGTTCTATTTGACAAAGAATAATTTTACATCCAGCACTTTCCAAATACTGACTCCAAATGAATGCAACCCGTCGAACACAATAAGGTTTTGTGTTTCGAGTTTAAAAAAAAGACAATTCTTGTGACTTTTCCATTATTAATACCCCTCCGAATTTCTGTTTGAAATGTACAGATATACACTTTTTTCCCTTGAAAGGGAAATAAGCTTTACACACATATGACTGGAGTGTGGTGCCTCTAACAGCCCTAGGGGAAGCTGCCTTTGTTTTATCTCAGGTCCCTAGTCTTTGCTAATCCTTGTGCTACCTGTAAGGTGGCGTTTATTGCCCTTTGTTCGCCTTAGGTACTTTATTTCCCAAACCTCCGTCGCGTCTGGAGGGCATTCCTCTATCGGAAATAAAATGTATGGATATGGAATTTTCCGTCTGGTTCTGTGTATCTGTTGGGCAGAAGGCAAGATAAAGAATAAATTATGTTAACTAGGTTTGTTAGTTAAAAGATTGTATACAATGAATGCTTCTAATGAGTACGTCCAATATGTCTTCTTAAAAGCAAAACATTTTCTTTTGTTCATTAGTCCCGCGTTCTACGGAAATTTCGGTTGTGGGTTGTTTTTTTAAAAATATTTCAAGGGCTTTTAAACCTTTGTTGTTGAATCAATCTAAGTTTTAAACACACGTTTATTTTGCTTGAAATTGCCAACTGAAACAATAGTGTTCTTGTTTTTTTTTTTTTAAATTTTACAATAAATATGTAATTATATTTTAATTGATGGACGCACGCTAAAGGGTCAAGACAAACAGAGTAAACGAAATACAAACACCCAAACTTGACATGCTTTCAATTAATGCTTGGCTCCCCCAGTTACTATGTTTGTACATTGATGTTGTCAACATACCGGCAGACAATTATAAATTTGTATAAATATTGGTATTTTTAATAGTGCATTCAGTCGGGTGTAAGATGAAAAGCTTAAATGTCAGAACTTTGAGGGTATCTTTTTTTTTAAAAAATAAGAGATTACATTTT